AGCAAATGCTAATCCTCTTGATTTATTATTGGCTGGTGCTTTTTCAGCTTCCTCAGAGCATGTTCAGAGAAAATTTGAGTTCTGTTTGAGAATTCCCTCCTAGTCCGTATATGTGTTGATGCAAGTGCACAGATGGTGTTTCTGACACCCCGTGAGTGTTGGTATTATCTGGTGCCATGCGTATAATTCCACTTGCACATTGGGAACTGTTGTCTAGTTGCCATACCAAGCAAATGCATCTGAGATACTTGAGAATCTGAGGAACATATCAACAACAGCAAGAAGACACCCACACCCTGATAGTCCTGTGGCAGGAGGCCACTTGGAGAAATCCCCCTACAGTAGAAGAGTGCTTGGGTATGATAGATGGCAATGAAACATGCATTAATTGCCACCTACACCCCCCCTAAAAACCCCCCTCATGTGCAGTGCTGTAGTGCCACTTGGAATCACATATACATGTAAGAGAGTACTTGGCAGAATTAGCAGTGGGAGGCAATGAAAAATTCATTCAGCTACAATCAAAAAGCTGGAGATGCCTCAGTAGAGAATATATGGTCACCAAGGAAGAATTGCTTGGTTGATTTGATTATTTGGTTGGGTAGTCAATTTACTGTTGAATGGGATGCTTGGAGGAGGTGCAACGAGGGTTCCTTCGCTGCACACACAGTTCTGTAGAGCCTATATGCCATTGCAGTGCAAGTGGAACCTAGTTCTTAAATTCCACATTTAGAAACTTGCCAAGGTAAATATTATTGCAAAGTTTTGATTAATTATTTTTATGCCATAGATCTGCATACACACACACACACACACACACACACACACTTAAAAAGCCGGGTTATAGAATATGATAGATAAGTGTGTTCCCCCCTCCTCACATACAGCATAAATTGTGCGTTGGTTTCACACAGCCCATCAGAGTTTTAACAAAATCTTCAATAAATGGTAAGGAATTTGCAGTGATCTCCTCACATGCACTGTTTGCTTTAGCTCCCTTGTCTGCTGAATGTTGGCTGTCCAGGTGCAGAAGCTTGTTAGTCATTAAGATCCAGAGGGATGGCATTTGTTAATTGAGCATCACAAATTGATCAGATCTGTTTTCCAAGTTGACTAATTGCAAACTTCAGTGGTGTCGCTGTTCAGTAATTATGCAGGAAGCACAGTGTGACATCAATCAGATGACAGGCTTGTGTGAGTAATTTGCTCCAAATTTCCGCGCAGAAACGGTTAACACTTTTAAACATTCAGTTACTGCTTTGGAAACTGCAGCCCTCATCATCTTATTCACCCCATCCAGCGCTGTGGCCATATAAGCTGCATTCCCACTGTGGAAGGAAGTGTGGATCCAGAATTGGCCTCCACAGTCACTTACAGACTCATTGTTAAGACTGTGTTCATGGAAGACCATCTTACCTGGCCACGAGTGATCACCAAAGATCTATTTCAAAAGGCTGTCCTCAGCTGATTCAAACATGAAACATCTGTTACTTGATATTCCTTCACTCAGTGGTGTCAGTCAAATGTCTGACGGCCTTTTCACACATGAGCTGGACATCACTGCTGTTGTGAACAGGCATGTGTGGTGGTGATGGGATGAATAATATTTGCAATGGGAATTGGAGAGGGTGAGGACCAGGACATCCCAGGGAGGGATTTTCCAGCAGAGAATCTGAGTGGGAGAGAGCACCTATCAATTCATCCCTGCAAATTCCTCCAAAAGATTACTGCCCCTGCCCCCAATCTGGGTCTGAAATTAGAAGTGAATTTGATTGTAGGGGGGGTGGAGTGTGTGTGTGTGTGTGTGTGTGTAGATTGACAGGAAATAATCAGTAGCTACAAGAGGAGTTAAATATCCCTTCTCATACCTAATTATTGTCCCTGTAAGTGACCTTCCTCCCTGTTATCTGGGCAAACATGGAGTTAGAAGCTCACATCTGTTAAGATAGCTAATGTCTATGTGGTACTAGGGGCAAACAATATAACCACATGCCTGATATTTGCACTTGATGGAGTATATATTTTTCGCTCTATAAGAACGCACCAGACACAAGATGCACCTAGTTTTTGGAGGAGGAAAACAAGAAAAAAAAAATTCTGCATCCCAGAAGCCAGAACAGCAAGAGGGATCGCTGCGCAGTGAAAGCAGCAATCCCTCTTGCTGTTCTGGCTTCTGGGATAAGCTGGGCGGCAGCCCTGCATTCGCTCCATAAGACGCACACACATTTTCCCCTTACTTTTTAGGAGGGGACCAAAGTGAGTCTTAATAGAGCAAAAATATGGTTAATTCCAGGGCCTCAGGTAGCATGTCTGGGGAACTGGCGGCACTTAGTAACCACACCTACTTTTGCTGAACAGCTAAGATCTAGAATCAAGTTCTATATTGAAAGCAGAAGAACAAGTAATAAATGACTCTTGGATTAAGACAAATCACATTTTTCATCCTTGACCAATGTTTTTTCTTCCCTCCTGCCTCTCCATCCTATTACTAGGGTGAAATATGTCTCTGCACCAGCAGAATCTTTGTTCAAAGAAACATTTGCAATGAATTCTTGAGAAGGTTTGTGGAAGCTGTCAAAAAGTGGAAAGTTGGAAACCCCTCAGATCCCACAATTGACCAGGGAGCACTGATAAGTAAAGAACATTTAGCAAAGGTAAAGAAAAAGAAAAACCAAGGTTGATTAAAGGTGAAGGTAAAGGTACCCCTGCCCGTACGGGCCAGTCTTGACAGACTGTAGGGTTGTGCGCTCATCTCACTCTATAGGCCAGGAGCCAGCGCTGTCTGCAGACACTTCCGGGTCACATGGCCAGCGTGACAAGCTATGTCTGGCGAGCCAGCGCAGCACACGGAAATGCTGTTTACCTTCCCGCTGGTAAGCGGTCCCTATTTATCTACTTGCACCCAGGGGTGCTTTCGAACTGCTAGGTTGGCAGGCGCTGGGACCGAACGATGGGAGCGCACCCTGCCGCGGGGATTCGAACCGCCGACCATGCGATTGGCAAGTCCTAGGCGCTGAGGTTTTACCCACAGCGCCACCCGCGCTGTTGATTATTTGTGATCAAATAAAGTGCTGTTTTTCTTTCTGGCTTGAGAAGAAGGGACCTCAGGATATGAAGAGAGTACTTTTTTCTCACCTCACTGTAAATTCACAGTCATTTTGGGTTGTGGAACAGGGCAGAACTTTTAGCTGATTTTGAGGCCCAGTATACCTTTCAAAATTTAAGTACTGCAGTTGTTAAAATTGCATGTATTGTCCGGGTGACAAGGAATTAAAACTGTTGCTTCCTCTTGTAAGCTTGTTTTCCCAAACATGTTGACAGCAGGATTGAAAATAATATTTTCGATTTCCAAGAGCCAATATAAACTTTTAATGCTCCAAGGGTTTCCCCAGCATTGATTACTATCAACATTATTAGTTAAGTACCTGAAATCCCTAACAGCTCTCTTCAGGTGTTACCAAACAACATCCGCAAACAGATGCAGTGCAAATGAGTGCACTAGCTCCATGCCCTTCTAACACATGGAAGGTGACACTGTGAATCAGGGAGCCTTTTGTGTCTGTGGGGGCCCCTTGCATAACTAGGATTCTGACGCAAGAGCTTCAGGTTTTGGACTATCACCTTCCACAACTTTAGTATGCGATAGAGGGAGGTGGAGCTAGGAAGCTTCTCCAAAAGCTGTACTGCCCCCGCCTCATGTGCTTGCTGTTGACATTTCAGTACAAATCACTTGGAAAAAGTCCCATACAGTGGTACTTCGGGTTAAGAACTTAATTCGTTCCGGAGGTCTGTTCTTAACCTGAAACTGTTCTTAACCTGAAGCACCACTTTAGCTAATGGGGCCTCCCACTGCCACCGCAAAATTTCTGTTCTCATCTTGAAGCAAAGTTCTTAATCCGAGGTACTATTTCTGGGTTAGTGGAGTCTGTAACCTGAAGCGTATGTAACCCGAGGTACCACTGTATTTGGATTAGACTGGATTACTGCAATGCACTCTATGCGGGGCTTCCCTTGGGCCTGGTCCAGAAGCTCTACCTAGTGCAGAACACAGTGACTAGGATGCTGGTGGGGGCAGCTGACCAGCAGCGTGCGACACATCGGCTAAAGCACCTGCTCTGGTTTCCCATATGCTGCTGGGCCAGGTTGAAGGGCCTTGTGTTTCCCTGGACACCTTGAGTCCAGGCTGTCTTAAGCACTGCTTGAGCCCTTATACCCCAGACCAATCACTGGAGTCTGGAGGTGCACTGTTAGTTGTCCCCCTGACTGGCCTCAACCAGATGTCAGGGGCATTTAGTGTCAGTGGTCCCATGCTGTGGAACCATCTTCCAGCAGAGATTTGTCAGGCATCCTCACTTTTGACTTTCAGGAGCCTCCTGAAGACCCCCTTTTTTTTTACACTGAAAGGCCTTCAGAGCTGTTGAAACCTTTCACAACTACTACATTATGCTTTTAAGGTTTTCTAAAAGCATTTCTTTTGTGTGCACTGCCCTGATATTTTATGAGGATGCTTTAGAAATACTTTTATACCTATAAATAAATAAAATATTTCTGTAGCCAATCTGTGGATAATTGGAAATTGCAACCCTTTCCGAAAATGATTTGTTGCTGTTGCTCCTAATAGGTAAAGAACTACATCAAAAAAGCAGAGTCTGAAGGGGGTAAAATTCTCTGTGGAGAGGGGATCGATACTTTGACTCTTCCAACAAGAAACCGGAATGGGTATTTCATGCTTCCGACGGTCATTACTGAACTTGCCGATGACTCAAGTTGCATGCAGGACGAGATCTTTGGCCCTGTAACCTGCGTCACAGTGTTTGACACGGAAGAGGAAGTGATCAGGAGAGCGAATGGGGTCAAATACGGACTGGCAGCCACTGTCTGGTCAAGGGATGTGGGGCGGGTTCATCGCGTTGCTAAGAAACTCCAGTGTGGATTGGTGTGGACCAACTGCTGGCTTATCAGGGACTTGAATTTGCCCTTTGGCGGCATGAAAGCCTCAGGGGTAGGCAGAGAAGGAGCAAAGGATTCCTATGAGTTTTTCACTGAGGTGAAAACAATTACTATAAAACACACTGAGATGCACTGATGAAAAATATTCCACATCAGAATAAACAAACACGGTGGTTTTTGCTGTGCCTGTCTTTGAAATAGATAATGAGACAGGTTTGCTTACAATGTGCCCTGAAAGCCATAATTTATACTGTAATTGCATTGATGGTATAAGTTCACTGGCTAGTTGTCTGCCTGCCTGCTTCCCATGGAGAAAAGCAGGGGTGCAAGTTGAAAGCTTGTAGCTGGAATGTGGGTACTTTTTAGGACCGAGTGCTTATTTTGGGGTGATGGGGTCTGCAAAATGCCTGTGCTTGCAGCTGCATACTCATCATACATTGAAAGCATGTTACTTCCCCCAAGAATCCTGGGAACAAAGCAACTTGTTAAGGGTGCTGGAACTCTGTGAGTGGTAAACTTCAGTTAGCTGTATACTTTGTGTTAAACAATGTGCTTTAAATGTATGGTGTGGATGAGGCCTGAGTGCCTTTGTCCCAGCTTTGCAAAAGTCTCTGCTCATATTAAGCCTGCCTTCACCTGGTCTGCTCCCTGAGTCATTTGGATGGACAATAGGAAGATCAAAAGCTTCACATGGGCAGCTGGAGAACACCTCCAGGGTGCTGCTGCTGCTGCACCCACGGGTGCCAAGTTAGCAACTTCTAGCTTACTGAACAGGACCAAAATGACAAATTCAAATGGAAATTCGAGAAATTATAACCTTATAACCTTTTCAAATGGAAATTCCTTCTGTGAGCTTTGGGAATAGGGAAAAGGACGATTGTTTCAGATATAGCTTCCATTTACATCCACATGAGGGCAGCAGAGTGTGTTGTTTGTTCCCCCTTGTGAATTGCTTAGGTTTAATATATTTTTATGTACTTCAGAAATACATTTCTTCTGTGATGCTTTTTTTTTTACCATTAATAAAATCACTCAAAATGGAACAAATCCATAAAGAAAAAAATATTCATTTTTTTAAAATGGAAAAAGGATTCAGTTGGAAGAAACCGTCCATGTTTTTGAGCTTTGGAGGGTAGAAAACTACCATAGTTTGACTGTATTTCACTGCCCATGGTGAAATCTTAGTGTTAAATTATGGAGAGTGGAAGGGATTCATTATACTGGACCAACGAGATGCAGTCTGATAACTGTAAAGATCTTGTAGTTTTCCATTCCTGGGGCAATGGAATTTTTCAAAAACCTTCTTTGCTGCCAGCTGTCCTGTCTGGTGAAAGACATCATGTAGTCATCATGAGGATTTTGTTTAATCGTTTTTATGTAAGTCTGAAGAGTCAGCCTATCTGTTAAATCTTACAGATGGAAATCAACTTGGATCTGATTATTCCACTCCTGCTGGTTGACTTTCTCCTGCCCCCAGTCGAGACGTGTACGTCATCTTGCAACGATTTTAATTGGCTCTGGCCAGGCTGGGATGTTGCAGAATTTTCTCAGAATGATGCCAGCATTTTCTAATACCTACAATCAAGCTAAAAAATCCCCAAAACAAACAACCACTGTCTCCCTAGGACATCATCATCATTATTTAAAGACTTAGATTAACAACATTTGAAGCATGCTTTTGGGGAAGACAGAGGTGGTCGTGATCATGGGTCTGTATTTGTGGCATGTTTGAGAACATTTGATTTTCCAAATTTCAACCAATTGATGTTCAAGACTTTCAGCAAAGCTACACAGAGAACTGTGATAAATACAAAATGCTCAGCTAGTATCAGTTGTAGCAACCAATCCTATTGCTTGTACCCCAAATATATGGTCTGAATTCATTGCAGCAGATGTTAGTGCAGGTGCGCTCCAGATGCTGCGAATTCCATTTTGCATTATCTCTGACCATTGGCCATACTGACTGGAGCTCACTGGAATTGTAGTCCAAAAGATTTGGAGGACAGCAGGTAGGGGGATGATCTATTGAAACCAACAATCCTTGTGCGAATGTCCAGTGCAAAGATCGGAGATATGTTTTGTAGTGGTGTCCAACTGCAGATATTCCTCTTCACCCCTCTCTTTGTGCTTGTTGGGGATTTCACTCAGAAGTCACTCCACCCTACCTCTTGGAGTTTCAAGGTGAAGACTGCCTCCTCTTCATTTTTTGGGGGGTGGGGGGGATGCTTATCTCAGCTGCAACCAGCCTTACAGCTAACTGGATCCATATGACAAGCTCTGCTTTTCCAGTCAGGCAGACTTTCTAGAACTCTGAGTATGCCAGTTGTTATTGCACAGCCTTCTGCTGAATTCACAGTTCTGAGGCTTATGCAGTGCTTTCCCCCCCTAAAAAAATGTTTAGGGGTACTCTCATTTGGACGCAAGAAAACCACCGTTTTATAGTTCAAATTGGGGAAAATAAGTACAGTAAATGGACAAAAGTACAAAGAACATGCATTACACAGCTGGCAGCTCACAGTAACTTCCACATTGGCATGAGCTTGTGTACACTAACATCTTTCCGATTCCTCTGCGAAACACCACACATCCACATTCCACACTGCTTCACACATTAAACGCTCGCTTCTGTCTGAGGCTCAGGAAACATCGTGAAAGGAAAAGAGGCCGTCATCAGGGGTAGCAACGGAACTGACGATTCACCGTGCTAGAGAAGAATTTTAATTTTTTTTTGTTTCTTCTCCCATTAGATTCACAAAATGTTTAGGGGTATGTGTACCCCTGCATCCCCCCCTGAAAAAAATCCCTGGGTTTATGCATCCCAGCTATATGTCCCAGTCCAACAGGAAGAGGCATTGCTCCCCCCCCCCAGCTGGAGCATGTTGGAGTGCAGTTTCAGCACTTATCAAGTGGGCGCCATTGCGGGCCAGTGCTCTGCCCACCCACTTCTTGCCTTTACGTATTTCTGAGAAGCCCCAAACGTACATTTCAAGTCAAAATGGAAGTTGGCCAGCGTGTGTGAGTCTATACTTTTAAAAAAAGATTTATGACTCCACCTAGCTCCTAGCCACTTCTAGCAGCGTTTGGTCAAGCTATGGGGAGGGGCCAGTTTGTATTTCCTTTTCTTCAATCCATCTCCTATGTAGCGTTGGTTGGCTTTAAGCTTTCAAGCCAGGCCCCTACCCTGAAACCAGCTAGAGAGACAGTTTGCTGTAGTTTTCAGCACCTCTGCAGGTGGTTAATGTGGCTGTTGTCAAAACGGCATCTGTTCAGGGCTGCCCCAACTCTCCCAGTTGACTTACTGTAGCAACTTCATGTTGAGTTTTGCCACCTATTTTTCATGGGGGGGGGGAGCACTGGGAGGAGGGAATGCAAACACAAGCTGCTGCTGAATGTGCATGCAGAGCTGCAGGCTCCCCCCCAAGAAATAACCATGCACCCCTCATTTGTGGGTTCATTTCTGCATCAAGACAAGTGCTGTGCTTCAGTTTCTATCCAGGTTTCACTGAACTCTCGTGACCGAGAGCGAAGACAAAAGTCATTACCTAGTCGTAAGTTAGAAATTAATTTAGGGTGTGAATAAAACTGAAAATTGGGTGTCAATTGAAATTAAATATTATGCAACAGCGAGGATAATGTTGAATCTTCTTTGGCTTAACACCAGTTTCTTAGAAGCCAAACCCTCCAGGATAACAACATTCCTGTGTCTGGCTTTCCTGCCTCCTGCTGCTATAAAATTCTTGTTCTGAATAGCAAAGTTCATTGCCTAACACTTAGTTGAAAATATGATGCACTTATTTGGCAAACTCCCTAATGGTGATTATATTAACATAGCACGCAGCCTTAATGTTTATTTTTCTCTCCCAGCCAAATTAACTGACTGCGGCTTTCATCCTGGGCTAGAGCTGTCCTGACAAAATTCCCAACCTTGAGTTTGTCTGCAAAATTTTGAATTTCTGTTCTAATTCGATCCCCTGCCCATTTCATTTATTTATATTTATTAGTTGTTTCATTAGTTGTTTCATTAAAAACTCTCTAAGCAAGACTCAGATGCTAAACAGTCAATCAAAGAAATGAAAAAGACACACACTGGGGCATCATTTCACACACAAAGAGCAAAAACCTTTTGAACGGGGCACGGTTCCTTCAAGATTTCTGAAAACCATCAGAAAAAGTTGGAGCTTTTCTCTCTGTCTCTCAGCACATCCAGGCTGTCACTGTCTTTGGGTGGGATTCACCCCACAGCCGCAGATTCAGGTTACATAATTAAAGTCAAGCAAAACCAGGCATTTCCCTCTGTTATCCTCTTTTCCACACATGAAGCAGCAACCATCAGTAGCTTCAATTGCCTTGTAAAAGCGTATCTTTTTGACCAGGCTTTCCCTGACTGAAAAGAGTGGATCCTCTTATCTGTTTTTATGACGTCTTCTGTGGTTTCTATGTTGCATTTTTGCATCCTCCCCTTCAAATGTTAAGCAGTTTAGGAATGCAAATAAACAAATGCATTCTGGAGGCTCACTAATAGAGGAGGGGGAACTAGGCCAGGAAAGCAGAACCATTCTAATACTGCTGCTGCTTCTCGTGGTTCTCACAGAATAAAATTAGATTGCTTCAGAAGAGAGGGAACTGCTTTGCAATCCATAGTTACTGTTCTCCGGCTAATAATTTTTGATGCTCTTTTTCTATCCCACGAGCAGAATGGGAAGAGCCTGCCTTTCTTGGCTGAAGTGGATCCCATAAATTCTCAAGCATTATAATGATAAGTCACCACCGACCACTGGGAGACATCTTAGCTCTGCTGTTTACACTTGCACACAAAAACGTTTCAAGTTTCAATGGAAAAATGCTGTATCATTATTGGTGAATGGCACACACATCTTTAATGATGTGGTTTCCCTGCATTGAACACAGAAGCAATGTCCTGATGGCCCTATTTCTGTGTGTTAATGTTGGGAACTGATGGGGGGGGGGCGTTGTACATGTCTACCAAAACTGAATTGTTAATCGGATTTTAAACCTTAATGGGTTTGTATCACTGGAAGCAGCAAATTGTCATGCTCATTCCAGTGATGCAGTATGTGTTTAGAAACAGGTTTTTGGAGCATAACCTGTACTGGATGTACAAATGTCTTGAAAGGTTTCTGGTGATATTTTCATCATACTGCTAATATACATGAAACCACATATTGTGACCTAGGCTTCTAAGGGATTATTCACTATTCCTCTTGTCCCATTGCTGCCCCCCAGGGAAAACTGCTTTTCTGCACTCCATCGGAGCAAACAGCAATTTGGGTTTTCTCTGGATTGATGGTTTTTCCAATTTAGCACTAAAGAATGGATTTTCCCTGGGAAAGCAGTGGGGCTAGGGGAAAACTGCTCAGACTACTGCCTAGAAAGCACAGGTAAACAAAATAAATAAATAAATAAATAAATAAAAACCATCACTTGAACCTATGTATTCTAGGCACGGAACAAACATAAGCATAGACAACCCTTAAGTCCCTTCTGGTGCAGCCAGGGCTGGATTTAGGCTACTGAAGTTAATGGGGCCCTTTATATGTCCAGCTGTCGTTTGTCAACAACAAATTGTCGCTGTTTTTCGTCTTGAATATATGCTATATGGTAATGTATCTAAAGCCATTTGCACATGCAGAATGTAGGGACCCTATATATAGAAATGAGCAAACCAGTGATATTTTAGGGAGCAGGCTAGCAGCCGGGGCCCAATACTTACATCATAGGAACCTACACAACACAAAACACTGTTGCTGTACATAGGTTTTATTTTATTTGTTTTTTATCTTATATTTTGGAAATGTACATCCAGATTTTTCCCCCTTTATATTTTTTTGGGGGCCCCAAGAGAGTGGGGCCTTAGGCTATAGCTTGTTTAGCTTATACGTAAATCCGGCACTGAATGACTGACAGCAGCTTTGCACCATTTCCATGTCTTCTAATTTTAGGTACATATTTCTGGTGAAAATATGTCTGTATTTTCTCTTGATAGAGCTATAATTCTGCAGTCCCACATATCCTTT